CCCGGACAAAGTCTCACCAAGTCATCGACAATGACATCGATTCACGGTCACTCATCTGGGATATCGTTACGGAAATTCAGCATTCACCGCCCAAAACAGGATCTGGGAGAGATTTCGACTGGGCAGCCGGCTTTCCGGACCTTTAAGTCGGACTGGCCTTGACTGTGCACAAGTGAGCACGCCAGCCGTCGTAGATCCGACAGATTTTGCCGCCAGGAAACACGGCCATAGAATGGTCATTTTGTGAAGGCTGGCGGTGGAGTAGTCTGAGTTAGGATCTGTGTCAGTTCAATAGGCGTTTCGAGTTGACGACTTTGATTAAACTTCAGGCTCGAGAGAGGAATGGTAGTACTGAAACACCTTTTAAAAATTGTTATCATAATGATCATAGTCCCAATCTCCGGTGTTTAATTCGGCAACTGTCATTTATTGAATGATGAAAAGATGAAGAACAAAACAACCTATGTAGGTACCCAAACATTAAAGATCCCCGATAATGATCCCCGAATCAACGTTTGCTTCGACTTCCTTCAAACAATTCACATCTACGATCCGCGCATCATTGGCACCCATGCGAACCTTCAGCCCACGAGGAGGACCATCGCCACACAGTCAGTAATCGTGCCAGCGTGCACGATCCCGTGACAGGGCCCCGCCGGACGGGTCTGCGGTGGCGGCGGCGGCGGCGGCGTGGCCCCATCAATGGACCCGGCTGGCAACAGGACCGGATTTTCCTGGAAACTCCGCAGAACGGCGGGTGCGCGGGCAAAAACGCACCGATCACGTTCACGGGGCACAGAAGGGGGCGGAGGGTAGGTATGTCGGACGGCGGTAAATGAAGGAAGCAGGCGGTGACGGAGAGAGGAGAGGTGAGAGAGAGCGAGGGGAGAGAGAGAGGGGGGGTAGATAGAGGCGAAAGCAGAGGACAAGGTCGAAAACAGTGTCAGTGGCAAAAGTAGCGAGGGAAGTCGTGTGGCAGAGTTGGTGTCATTCAGCCGGTCCCAGCGTTCCTGTTTCCCGGTGTCTTCAATGTCATTCTGGCGGTGTCAACACCGTGTCATTCTCCCAGTATCACTGGTGTCATTCTCTTAGTATCACCGGTGTCATTCTCTTAGTATCACCGGTGTCATTCTCTTAGTATCACCGGTGTCATTCTCCCAGTGTCAGCAGCGTGTCGGGGGCGCCACGGGAGCGCCGCTGGATTCGTGTCCGAGCGGTGATCGTATCGGCCAAGGTCAACACCGCACGCCGAGCCACGGTCGGACGAGCGGTCGGACGGACGAGCGGTCGGGCGGTCGGTCGGGCGGTTTTGGTCGGACGGTCGGAAGGTTGGGGTCTGGGGGGTGCACCTTGGTGGCGACGAACGACACAAGGCTGGGGCCCCAAGAGCCGCGAAGGGCTGGACTGAAAGGACAGAAACGCGAAGACACTTGCCGAAAATGAAAGACGCCGGAGCCAAAACTTTCTGAGCTAGGCATGCGGTGGGAGCATCACGTTGGATTCACCAGGAACCATACTGGTCCGACTTCGATGTAGTGCGACGTAAGAGCGACTTCGCAAAATCGACGTAGGCAGAGCTAGGCCACTGGCCGATGACTTCATTAGGCACAGTCGGCGATGGGACCCGACGGCCGTTGGTTGACCCCAGAGTGAATGGAGCTGAGAATGAGGCCTTGGGCAGGGCCAGCCTGGGCGCCGTATGTAGGTCTGGGAGCGCGGTGATGGGCTGAGGCCCAGGCCGCAGAAAGTTGCAAGCAGCCGGAGGTTTCATCAGGGTGTGATTGACATGTTGCGGTGACAGTGACATTCGCAAAAGCGTTGAATGATGGAAAAGAGGTATAATTTGCTGGATAGTCTAAGCGACACTGCTTGCAGATTGAGGTGGACTCAGCCACCATGAACTGTTATACTTGTTGTTTTATTGCACTTCCCATCATTTTACGCCTACTCATTCATTCCATACTCCGACGAACATTCTAAATCTTTACGAACCACTGATGTACAGTTTACGGTCAGTAGCCTGAGAGTTAGAACGTGTGTAGTTCCATCTTCCACACAACGACGCACCGTAGAAAACAAATCGGCTCCCATTCTGGCCGCAGTCGAGCGCGCGTCGCCCGCCCTCGAGTGCACCGTTGTTTTTGAGGACGCCCATCGCCTACTTTCCATGCACCGCTAACTTCTTGCCGGTGTTGAGGAGGGTCCGAAAATCCGTTATAAACATTCCCGGCATGCAAATAGTGCGAGACCTTCCGCCTCCTGGACACTGACTACAAAAACTGACTGAGAGGGTTTAACAGAGGGCCTACGAACAACACAGCCAGCAGTCATCACAACTACCGTCGCCCATCCACCGCAAAAACCTGCGCCAAAGATGGGAATCGAACCCACCGAATCTAGCCCATCATCTCACCCAGCTCGTGCTTCGCTCACTCGGCCTCCTCCGGCGGAGGAAAAGCCGCCGCCGCCGCCGCAGCGGTCGCCGGCAACCGTCATTATCCAGCGACAAAAAGCAGCGCCCTGGGACAAAGCTGGCGCGCGCCGCCCTGAGCCGGCGGCGAGCGTGGCGCGGCGCGGAGCGGAACCATTGCGGCGCGGCGGCGGCGGAAGCGGCGCGCTCTCGCACGCCATGGCGAGACGGTCACCGGCCGGCCGTTGTCACCGTCTCGGCTCGAAGGCGCACAGGCGAAACGAGGAGCCCCGGCGAGCCCGCGCCGAGGGAGGGGAGGGAGAGGGACTGGGTGCCACCAGGTGAACACACGAGGCCACCGAGGCGACGTCTGGTGAAATCTCTCAACGAGGTTTCTTCACAGTGAAACTTAATCAAGGCTTGGTGGATTCATCAATGGGAAGAAAGGTGAAAAGCAGATCCCACCCACCCATGAGGGTTAATTGTTGTTTGGGGAAGTTATTAGCCTTATTTGGCTAGACGAATGTTAAATGAGATAAATGAGCACACCGAAGCATGCAATGTAATACAAAAACTCCATCCACGAACCATGCATGGGAGCTTTTGAGGCTAAGCCTCATCATTACCACTTAAGAGTTGGGCATATGAAGGAGCAATAGCAACTAATTATGAGTGTTCTCTCAATCAAGAGCTTGACCCACCCGTTCATTGTTCAATTCGCATGCATCGCACGATGCCACAATACCTTGCACCACAAACAATGCCACTACAAAACCCTCTGCACCAGCCAACTAAGGCAAAACACGGCCGTTTCGATCAGCAGGCAAACGCATGGTCGCTTTGCACGTGCCATAAACATCCAACAGCCCGCGGCTGGCTAAATGACAGCACGCCGTCCGCGGTGACCTGGCCATGCCCTAGTTGAAGTGGCCGTTGTCGGCTTCTGCTACTGTACTTATCAAGGCCGGGCGACGCGGTACACATGTTGACTCTTGTCGTGAATTGTTCCACAGGATAGCATGCAAGGCGCTAAGTGAACAATCGTGAGGTTGCGGTAGCGATGCGAAAAGGGGAGCACGGTAATGGGCTCGTGTAAGCAGACTAGAAGATAGCATCCAGTGGGATGTAAATATCTCAGTGATACGCCGGGACTTTCGCGCATCTTTTTTTTATGAACTTCCGTTACATATTTCTATCTGCATCCTTCGCAAGCCTCGTAGCATTTCGGCGCTCTGCGTTTCCTCTCCAGCTCCAAGAGTTCGAAAACGTCTGTTTGGCAACGTCTGTCTCGCGTTGCCAGACTGACAGTCTGGCAGTGACAGTCGGTCGGCTTTCGCCAGTGATCACGCACAGACGAGACCTTCTCCGGGCGAGCCCAGCCGCTCACTGTGGAGAAACCCTTCCCCGCCGCCGCCACAGACGACGGCGGGGATACACGGCCGAAAAACGCTCCGGTCGCGTCCGGCTCGACGTTTTTACTCGGGCGGTACGGTCGACCGACTGCCGCTGGGTCAGTGAGCAGACGCGCACCTCGCCGAGCGGCTCCGCCTCGCGGGAAGAGCAGCGGTGAAACGTGCACGAGCCGGGGGGAAACTGGGCTGATTGAGGAAAGCGACGCGTTGGACTTTGGTGAGAGATTGGGGACAGGTTGCAGTAAACAAGTTTCATTGACAGAGATCTGCCTGGAGTTTGCATGCAAGCCTCGCAAAGCTGCGCCTAGGTTTCCGAAGATCGTTTTTGAGTTAATTTGGTGTGCTGTTGATTGTGGCAAGATGGTTAGGTTGACCTAACAGATAATCAGCCACCATAAGAAACTGGCTGCAACTGGATCGGTGGTTCAGGAAACTTTGAGCGCGGCGTTCTAATAGCAGCTCCAAAACTGTGCTCAATAGCGGGCTCGAGCGTTCACCGTCATACGAATGAATGGACAAATGAATGGATAGCCGTCAACCTTGGCAAACAGCTTATAATGCAATTGATATCCCATTTCCTCGTTTCAATGTCAAAGACCAAGTCTACGTGACGGATTAACCGATTTAAATCAGTTTCGGACCCTCACATATTTCCGTCAACACTGTGCATGTTATAGGATCTAATCGACCATCCACATTTTTGTCGCAAAAGTTCCCCATGCTGTTGTTTCCGTCCATCCGATTGTGCTGCTATCACACCGGATACAGCAGCGGAAATGCGACTGACAATGTACTTCGCAGCAGCATGCATCGTTTGCGACACAGTGTCGAAGAGGGCAACCAACCCAGAACTGAGAAAAATCAGACTTGAGAGATATCCATGCTACAACACAACACATAGAAACGCAGAAAGCACAAGCGAGAAATCTAGAGACAATGGGAGGATCCCAGTCATGCATTTTACGTTGAGGACAATTTGTAAATCAAAGACTGTTCAAATTTAACTGCCCATTAGACCGGAGTGATATATGAAGTAGACTTTAACCGCTAAGCAGCGAACGCGCTGTAATTATTCACAATCTAAGCACCAGTGGGCACTGATTGGAGACAGAGCGACGGAAGAGGTTCCGGATAGAGGTGGTGGCAGTACTCGTTCGGTACTGGTACTCGGTACTCACTGCTGGCGTTGGTAGCCGGGGGCCCCGCCGCTGTGCTGCGACACGTAGCCCTTATTCGGGAAATGCATGGCACTGGTGGGCGGAGCTTGTTGCTGACCGGGGCCGCCCCATACTGTGGTCACCACTGATAGCTGCTGCTGGCCAGAGCCCGAGTTCCAATCACTGAAACAGAGAGAAGGGACCAGTTCCAGTCACTGAAACACACAGAGAAACACCCGAGTTCATATCACTGAAACACACAGAGAAACACCCGAGTTCATATCACTGAAACACACAGAGAGAACACCAGGTCTAGTCACTGAAACGCAGAGACGGACGGACCACTGAAACCAGAGAGAGAGAGAGAGAGAGAGAGAGAGAGAGAGAGAGAGAGAGAGAGAGAGAGAGAGAGAGAGAGAGAGAGAGAGAGAGAGAGAGAGAGAGAGAGAGAGAGAGAGAGAGAGAGAGAGAGAGAGAGAGAGAGAGAGAGAGAGAGAGAGAGAGAGAGAGAGAGAGAGAGAGAGAGAGAGAGAGAGAGAGAGAGAGAGAGAGAGAGAGAGAGAGAGACCATCGAATACCAATCATGCCCAAAATCTACCAGCCGATGGCGTAAAATGCATAGAAAATATGGCACTGTTCTATTTGAAACATTCGGCCGCAACAATGCAGCAAACCCGTTACCTGTCATTCCTGATATTGCCACGGACGACAAAATACCCTCCTCCCCCTCCAACACACATACACCCTTTTTTCCAACGCTCTACATACGCCTCATCACTTATCAGTCATCCATTTAAAGGTAGTGTGCCACCTTTGAAAGATTTCCCATTTTATTTTTCCTAGGATAAGAAGCTTCTGTTTTTACCTAATATCGCAAAAAAAAAATCAAAAATGGGCCTGGAATAGTGCCTTTTTCGCCTAAAAGTTTTTCGGTTTTTAGATATGTACTAGAGGTACAGGTTTACGCGATAACTGTATGTTTTGATTTATGTTATGTTACGGGTGCATTAGTTTGGGTGATTGACTTGTATTTTTAGCTGTATGATTTGGGTAGATTTGGGTAGCTGTTTTTAATTGAACTGTAAGGGATGGTGATAGTTGCGGGGTGTTCAAGTGTTTTGTATGTTGGGCCCTTTTTGAACTCAACCCTAACCCTACCCTACCCCTACCCTACCCCTACCCTACCCTACCCTACCCTACTACCCTACCCTACCCTACCCTACCCTACCCTACCCTACTACCCTACCACCCTACCCTACCCCTACCCCTACCCCTACCCTACCCTACCCTACCCTACTACCCTACCCTACCCTACCTAACTCTACCCTACCCTACCCTACTACCCTACCCTACCCTACCCTACCCTACCCTAGTCCCTACCCTACCCTACCCAACCTTACCCTACCCTACCCTACCCTATCCTTACACTACCCTGCCCTACACTCACCCTACCCTACCCTCACCCTACCCTACCCTACGCTACCCTACACTACCCTAACCTACCCTACCCTACCCTACCCTACCCTACTCCTACACTACCCTACCCTACCCTACCCTACCCTACCCTAGTACCCTACCCTACCCTACCCTACCCTACCTTACCCTACCTTACCTTACCTTACCCTACCCTACCCTACCCTACCCTACCCCTACACTACCCTACCCTAACCTACCCCTACACTACACTACACTACACTACACTACACTTAACTACCCTACCCTACCCTACCCCTACCCTACCCTACCCTACACTACCACCGACAATCAAAGTTTAAGCTAAATCGGCCCAGAAACGGCTGAGATATTGCAAGAACAAATTTATTGTATTTACTGGCGAATCCCCTTGGCGAGCGGTGCCTTGTGTCGGCCTTCGTTGTCAAAGGTCAATGACCTCCCGGCTCTGATGCTTTTCACTCAGTTTTGCAAGCGAACAACTGAGCCTAGAAAGCACGTGCGTTCTGCTCGGCGCCGGTCGCGGCCGCACCACGTGCACACCGCTGAACCCACACCCTCGAAAATTTAATACGACAATTGAGTGCACGCGTCCGACTTACAGCGAAAATCTCACCCCCGTAGCCCTTACCGTTCCCGAGCAATAGCTTGTTGCCGATTCTAGTGTAAACCCTATGGCACACCACGTGAGCACGCGCCACGGGCGCACCCCCGGCCGCATCGTGCCCAAAATTTAATACGACCTGTTGAATGACGCGACCCACGAGTGGCAAAAATTTCACCCTCCTGCGTCAATCGACGGCGCCGTAATAAGCCATTTTGGGAGTTACCCCGACGGCGGCGGACTTTTTAGGATTTATAATATAGATAACAACTGTAGTGGGCTCACCTGCAAACAGGCGTCGGGCAACAATCGCGAATGCGGCGCACTTGTGACAATAAGCAAAGGTCATTATAGTGTTACGACCATACGACGTACGGGAATGAGTTATCAGCTGTCTAATCGTAGACAACACAATGTCGAGCCTTAAACTGTAAGCCCGTATTGGTATTGTTTCTTTTATTTGGCTGTCGAACATTATTTATGGTTTGAAATATGATTTTATGTAAAATAATTGATATGAAAAAGCCGTCTTATAAGTTATGACCCCATTTCACCACACGCAAGTGGCAGAAATGACAATGATCAGCTGACGCATTTTTCTTGGCCGAAGTCAGAGCGCGCGGCCCGACGCACCACGCGTATTTGGAAATTCCGACCTCGACGAGCATCAGAAGCCACCTAACAGGCGTGTTCGAAACCGCAGGAGATGATGATGAACGGGTTTATCGAAACTTGATTGGATGAGCATATCGGTAATAGCGATTTCAGTGTGTGCATTTATTGTTCATAGTGGTGTGAAATGTGGTTGGGGTACGACCGACAACCCGTCGGGGCGAATTTCGCACTGGGGTACTCAAAATTTGAAGAATTTAAGACGTTTCCATGAGTTTTGAAGGTATGGATAAGTTCTAAAAATCCGGTTCTCCTTATCTGGGCCATTAACTCCATACGGTCCAAGAAAGCTGGCACACTACCTTTAATCACAGAACGTCTTATACTACTCCAACACAAATCAACCAACCGATCTCTATCCGCCCGTACGTACTGACACAGAAGCAATACCCGCCTCGGCAATACTGCCTATTGGAGAGTGAATAGGCAGCAAGCGGCTTTGCCGCGGAGAATGAATGAAAGGCGTTGTCGGTACGCTTCACCGAGCAGCCCCTAAAGCCGTCAGCTGTTTTAGTGGGTGACGTCACAGGTGGGGCGGTGACGTCATCGCGGGTACCGAAGGTGGAATGTTACACATTGCTCAGGGTCAGAAGGTACACAGGAAACGCGAGGTAAGTGTATCCGGTGGGCGGTCTTTGAGAGGGTGTAAAGTGTGGGAAGGGGAGGGGAAGAACGCATTGCATCACTCGTCAGTCAGCTTGAAAATTGAAAAGCCCAAGATGTTTCTACGTCCCCAGAGTTGATGACTGCTGTCTGCTACAATTAACATTAAAAGGTTCTTATAAAAGTGAGTTAAATACAATAATCGATAACATGCATCATGTTATCAGTGATATAATTAATGGACCAAATACATATAAGACGTCAAGAGAAGATCCAAAGAAAGAATGAAAGACGGATGAATGAAAGTGGCGCACAGAACTTCCGCGACATTCTATCGCATTGCAAAATGTTCCGATTGAGTTGTAGGCACCGCAGGTGAGCTAATTTCAGTCACGATGCTGGAAATCTAGTCTCCCTCTCCGATTAGAAAGTAAGACAGCAGCGGTCTGGTGAAGGGAGTCGCCTCCCCAGACGGTGACCTGGGTGCGCCTCTGGCCCAGTGAGGCGTAGGGCGGTGGTCGCTATCGCATAACACACAGCGGCCGGGCACAATGCGCGTCCCTCGCCGCCGCTTCCATTGTTGTTTAGAAAGCCGCCGACGCCGCCTGGGCAGAGGCGACGCCAGGAAAATAACATGGGGAGAATGACTGGATGGCCTCTGCGATCAAGATTCAAGACGGTAAAGACATTACAAGACTCGACGCAAGACCACAGGGTATCCGCTATCCAAATATCAACATGATCTACTTTCTGGTTTATAGGCGCGTCGCATTTCTTATATCAAGACGGCGATGTGACCTCTGTGACCTTGCGTGCCGCCTCCGCGCGACCCCACGGACCGGGTCGGCACCTGTGTGACACTTGTGACGGAAGTGACAGCAGTGACAGCTTGATGACAGTTCGGTGTCAGGACGAAGGTGCCAGAAAGTGTCACACACGTGTCACCTAGTGTCAGAGTGTCGCAAGGCCGCCAGCGTCGCACATCGACAAGTGTCCATAGGAGGATGCGAGGAGCGAGGCTGTTGCTACATGGGTCGCATAGATTAGGGAAGCGCTTAGGCGAGCCCAAGTGACGATAAACGTTCACAAAAGAAAGTCAATCACAGAAACAAAAAATACCGGTTGATATCAGGTAACAACTTGTTGAAATCAATGTCACAATCCTGACTTCCCTTCCAAGTTCCAACCAAAAGACGATGATTTACTTATCCATTGAATTCCTATGGAGCCTAAACATGACCAGCTGACGTTTCATCACCATGGCACGTAAAGATCACGACCGTCATGTTCCAGGAAGTAGAGTGACAAGATGTTTAGCGTATGATGTGACGGTAGTCCATGGCCCCAGGGTGAACTCCCGAGTCCGCCAGGCTCTCCCCGCATGCTGGGGTAACACTATGCCGCTGTCACGTGACCTCAGCGTGGCCGAGCTGAGTTGGCACCACAATCGGTCACGTGTTTGACGGGGAATGCCCAGCTGGCGGTGACGCAAGGTCACGTGACATGTCACACAAAAAAAACTGTCATGCGGTGCCGACCACCTAGAAACAGCAGTGAGTGGGCACCTTGATGTACCAATCGTTCCGCTAGGCTAGCTTTTTTCTTTGAAAAGTGTAAAAGGGTGAGGTCTGCAAGGGGCGCAGGCAGCCAAGAGGATGATAATTCGGGGGTTTAGAACGCCCGGAATGCGATGGTCCTCGGCGCCCATCCTCTCAGCGTAGGATATATTTCCTTTGTTGATACACCAGGGAATGTGAAATTAGGCGTCCGAAACAAGCTGAACATTCATTTTCCCTACCTAATTGAAAAGCATAAGCGCAATACGTTAACCATATTTTCGCACGCATTCAAA